CCAAATCCTTTTTCATAGTCAGCCCAGTTGAGGTAGAAGTCATTAGAACCATCCATTCTCCTTTGAAATACAGTCCATCCACCTCCATTACTCATATCACAATACACCTATTGAATATAAGTTATATACATGTACAGTAGAGCTTCTTTATTATATGGGCCCACACTACTTGTCCTTAAAACAGAGGTGACCTCATTTCAGAGGTACTTTTGCATAGTCGGGACATCAAAATGTTATTATAATAAAGGGTTTTATATATTGTTTATATTGAAATTATATTTACATCAAAGGCTGGTAGTTCATCAGGTTTCACAGTATATACTCCACTGCATACTTTACCATTTTCATATGCTTCCTTACAGTCACGAGGGAGACAACCTACAGTAAAACAGATATGTCTAATTATTATTATTACTGTATCACTTACATGCTTCTTGTGTTTCTTGTGCAGTAGCAATGCTAATAAGAATGAAGAATCCTATCAGCTTAAAATAAGAACAGGAATCCATCTTGTCTTGACTTGCTGTATAGAACTAATACTGAACAATCCTTTTACTGTAGGTTACCAGTGATGAGTGTTTGTGTACAGCTACTATTTTTATAACATGCTAGAGCTTTATTTACTATTAATCAAAATTATTGTGAATTTACTTACTATATACTACTGGTCAAAATTATTGTGAATTTCAGATGCCATTAGTTGCTACTGTTATACTACTAATGTTTTGGCTGACAAACTAGCCAGGGATACTTGTTATAGTAAAAGTATGCAAAACCAAAACTGACCTCTTCTACTCAAATACACATGTAACATTATTATTAATATTCTTTTATGTGATTAGTCATTAGTATCTTTTATTATGATACTACTCAGGATACATGAAATGTTATGTTTTGTATTACTTCACATCAATCACATGTTGTATGTGATAGTTTTTGTGGTGACCTAATTGCCATTATTTTTGTGCTCTCCTCAAATCTACAGAATTTAAACTACCTCTAATGCCATTCTACTGCATATACTATTCCCAAAACACAAAAATTAGCTCATTACATGAATATTATTTTTGAGCACATTTTATTGAAAACACAAAATTTTAAAAATTCAAAAATTTGAATGTACATGTATACAGTAGTGTAATGTAAAGATGTTCAATGATATGTATTAGAAATTCGGAAGTGTGATTCTTTTAAAAATGAAATTACGCTTTTACTTATTATAAACATCTCTTTTAAAATTCAACCATAATTATAATGCAATCCATAGACTACCATATAATGATCCTCACCATTTTAGCAAAAATTTTCATTATGTAGGTTTTTTGCCCGTGTGGGACCCCTTGTCTAGTTCTCAGACCCAGGGTCTTGTAAAAGCCCTCCAGTACATACAGGAAGAGTTTCCTACTGTCTTCCCTCAAACTGATAATTTCAAAGACCTCCAGAGAAGTTTAATAAAGAGAATACAAGAATCAATCAATGAAGACATGTACATACCACTAATGAATAAAAGGTATTGATATTATGAATTATAAAAACATATTCATTATTGATGGGAATTATATCTGGTGATTTATTAAATTTTAGCAATTGCATTAAAAATAGTCGCATTTGTGTGAAGAACAAAACAGAATTAAATGTACTTTTAATTTTATTGGTGAAACCACACCCATGAGTTTATCTAATTACTATTTAATATTACAGTTATATAGTTAATTATTCAGTTGTTAATTAATTTGTAGCCACCAATACTCATTCATACAGTTTCTATCAAAGACAATATTGAAAATCAATGAAGGTAAGGGAAACCATTGATATAATGGGAGGGGAAGGGAGGAAAAATAAAGAAAAAACTAATAAGAATCAACTCAAATTTTCTATGTAGCATAAAGACAACAATATGTATCAGAAAATGTAATAAAAAATTTTGGGTCATTTTGAAGCAATCTATTGACAAAAACCATGGACTATAGCCTTAGGTATTTTTTAAAATTTTGATTTTTTAAATGGCTGTAACTTGAAAAATTGAAGTCGGAATCACCTCAAACTTTCTATACACAGCAAAAGGACATCAATATGTATCAGAAATTGTAATAAAAATTTGGGGTGATTTTGGAGTCATCTTTTAAAAAAAAACCATGGACTACCATATAGCGGGATTTATTGACGAGTAAAAAATTTGACGAAAACAGTAAATTTCCCCGGTTGGCAAGTTTTAATTTGACGAATAGTGCCCTTCTCGTACACATGACACAAAGTACAAAATTTTTGACGGTTATAAAATTTTACG